TAATTTTTTTGTCATTTTTTTTTTTTTTAGAATTTTTCCAATTTTGAGGAAAATTACGAAATTTATAACGTCATAATACATAGACAAGATACAAAATGACGTCATTTTTATTTGATATGAAGTCACCAAGGGGTGAGTGAAATTTAACATATTTTCAACTAAAAATGAGTTGTTCTGATGTTTCAAAAATTCACAGGGACAAAAATGGACCAATGTGACTTTTCTTCTTTGTAGGAGGAGTAGTGTATATGACCAGTAGAGCTAAAAATAGTTAAAGCCTTTATTTCAATAACTAGTTTTACTTCCAGTGTACCTAGCATAATTTTCACTTCCTACAGCAAACAAAACATTCAGACACATATTTTTTTATGCCTTACCTTGTAAGTCCGAGTCTTTGGTGACTTGATGCCCAGTGTCTTTAGTAGAGGCTGGTTGACAATGTATATCTGGTGGCAAATGAAATTAAAGATTTATTAGAATGAATGAAAAAAAGCAAAAAATAAAGATCAGTCTTGACTTGTTTCCAACATGAACACCCATTTAGTACCTCACTATGCAAAGTCAATGTTTCTAATATAAACACACATGTACCTCACTATGCACAGTCAGTGTTTCCTATACAAGTACACATATACCTCACTATGCAAAGACAGTGTTTCCTATACAAGTACACATGTACCTCACTATGCAAAGACAGTCTTTCCTATATAAACACACATGTACCTCACTATGCAAAGACAGTGTTTCCCGTAGAAACACACATTTAGTACTTCACTATGCACAGTCAGTGTTTCCTAAATAAGTTCACATGTACCTCACTAAGCAAAGACAGTCTTTCCTAAATACACACATGTACCTCACTATGCAAAGACAGTGTTTCCCATAGAAACACACATTAATACTTCACTATGCACAGTTAGTGTTTCCTAAATAAGTTCACATGTACCTCACTATGCAAAGACAGTCTTTCCTATATAAACACATATTGATTACTTTACTATGCAAAATCAGTGTTATAATTTTCACTTCCTGCAGCAATTAAAACATTCAGACACATATTTTTATATGCCTTACCTTGTAAGTCCGAGTCTTTGGTGACTTGATGCCCAGAGAAGAGGCTGGTTGCCATTTTTTTTGTTGGCCACTGGTCCTTTATTGATACATGTAGCATTTTTCTGGTTTTGTTGCATAAGAATATTTAAAAAAAATATTAGTAGCATTCATAAAGTTAAGAATTATTGTACAGAGAAAGGTTTTTCTTACGACTCTTTAGCTGAAGAGACAGAGCTTTCGAAATGTCAAAAATACAGCTAGTTTATAGGTTTGTTATTAAAAATCTTACATATAGAATTCACACAGTATTAATTATATACATAATGACTTGACACTTTGTGCACTGAATAAATACAATAAGCAGATAGAAGGGCGAGCATGATGTAATACTTTCTTTTATAACCTCTTTATTTTCTATCCAGTGTCAAATTGTTTCAAGTACCTTCTTAGAGGTTCTCCAAGTGTAATCCCCCTCACCATAGTTGTAACGAAGTTCATCTCCAAGTTTTATGTCTCGGATGGCAAAAACGAACAAATGGGGATATCGATCCCTTCTTTTTTGATAATCTTGGGTTTACAATTGGGATGTTTGTCGTCACCATTCACTAACCTCCCTAGAGAATTGTTATCTGTAGCATCAATGCTGTTTTATAAGAGAAAAATATAAATAAAATGCAGTAAGATGTTAATCATTCATCAAATACATGTAATGTGTACTACGGACAATTCAATCAAATCTAATATTTCAAACACTAGCTGTTCATTACAATAAACGTTATTTAAAAAAAAACTTAAATTAATGTTTGAGCACTGGGAGTTAATGTAAATTTATCATGTGTATATAGTACGTGCAAGTTTGAAAAAGGAAGGGTAGTACTGTATGACACTCTGTTTAAGCCAAATAGAATTATCTTCAAATTGCATGATGCAATAAATCCCCTTGATAATCATAAAGCTGTCTATATCCAAAGTCTAAGGCACTTAAGTGTCTAGTTGCATCAGCTAACCAAATTAGATTGTGTTAGACCTCAAAGAGAGTTATATAATGAACAGGTTACATAAGAAGAGGCCCAGGGGATCACATCGCTCACCTGAGCACATTGGCTAGGAAAAGCACAAATATGATCAGAATTGAAAAGTTTCCTGAGGGGTGGGGGTGGATTGAATTCTAATACTACTTGAGAGTGCCTCCATATCAATACTGCATATATTTGAATTTGACTCCCATTGTTTCTCATCCTACCAAAAGGGGTATTCAGGGTTTGAACCATTTTAAATCTTCAATATATGAGGATGCTTACATGTCAATCTGACTAAACATAGCTTCTGTTATCGGGATTTTTCCTATGTAAATCTTTGATCCACCATTGAGACCCTTCCTTACCCTGAGGGGTTATGATTTAAACAAATTTAATTCTACACTACTTGGGGATGCTTCCATATATAAAAATACAACTAATCATGACTTTGCTATTCTTTAAAAGATTTTTTAAAATATATTTTAATGTAAAAATTGGATCCATTGGATCCCCCATTGTGGCCTAAACCCATCCCTGGGGGTTATGATTTGAACAAACTAGAATCTACACTACCTGAGGATGCTTCCATAAAAATATCACTGATCATGGCGTTGCAGTATTTCAGAAGAAATTTTTAAAGATTTCCCTGTGTTCCTTTTTTAAATATAGATTGGCCATTGTGGCCCAACCCTAACCACAATGGTCATGATTTGACTTGAATGTACACTACCTGAGGATGATTCAGTATGTGTTTCATTTTTCCTGTCCCTATTGATCATGAGGAGCAGACTTTTAAAGATTGTTCCTATATATTGCGATGTTTGACTTTGATTGGCAATTGTCGCCCCATCCTACCCCAAGGGTCATGATTTCAACAAACTTAAATCTACACTACTTAAGGAAGACTGGCCCAGTGGTTCTTGAGAAGATTTTTTTTTAAATGCCATTAATTCTTTACTAATTCATAATTATCTCCCCTAAGAAGGTGTGGCACTTCATTTGAACAAATTTGAATCCCCTTTATCCAAGGTAACTTTGTAGCACATTTGCAATTGGTTGAAATTGGTCCAGCAGTTCTTGAAAGGAAGATAAAAATGTACATAGTTTACAACGACGACAGGGACAATGACGACAGGCAAATTTTGATCAGAAATGCTCACTTGAGCCTTCAGCTCATGTTAGCTAAAAAGCTAGATACTGACAAGATAAGAAACCTTGTGCTTCATTCCATTTACCAAAAAGAGGCCCATGGGCCACATCGCTCACCTGAGCAAATCGTCTAGGAAAACTAAAAACAAGATTACTGAAGGGGGAGGGGTTGAATTTAATACTAATTAAGAACGGGTTCATATTAATACAGCATATGACTTTACTGTTCTCGATTAAAAAAATGTTAAAAACATTTTCTTCCTATACTTTCACTGATCATTGCTTTGAAGTACTGTAGAAGTGGAAAACATAACGGTGTTTTTAATTTCACTATGTTCACGATTTTAGAATTTTCCGCGAACTTTAAACAATCGTGATGATTATTTCACGTCATTTTTGCCTAGAAACAGTTATAGTACCTGAATATTTACAATCGTGAAATTAAAACCACCGTGAAAGGTAACTTTCTAACAAACCGTGAAATTTTTGACACGTGAAATTAAAGACGTCTACATACTCCGTACTCGAGAAGTCGATTTTTATACAGATTTTTCCTATATATTCCTATGATAAACTTTGATCAGCCATTGTGGCCCCACCTTACCCCCGGGAGTCATGATTTGAACAAACTTGATTCTACGCTATCTGAAGATGCTTCCAAATGAGTTTCATCTTTCCTGGCACAGCGGTTCTTGAGACGAAGATAGTTAAAAAAAAAGCCCTATATACTCTTATGTAAAGCATTGATCGGGCATTATGGCCCCATCCTACCCCCGGGGGTCATGATTTGAACAAACTTGAATCTATACTATCTGAGGATGCTTCCATATGAGTTTCATCTTTCCTGGCCCAGTTGTTCTTAAGAAGAAGATTTTTTTTAACAAGAAGCCCAGGGGCCACATCGCGCACCTGAGCAATTGGCTAGGAAAAAACACAGATCAGATCAGAACTGAAAGTAAACTAATGGGGGGAGGTTGAATTTCACCCCCGGGGGTCATGATTTGAACAAACTTGAATCTACACTACCTGAGGATGATTCCCTATAAATATAACGAAGCCTGGCTTTGAAGTACTTGAAAAGAAGATTTTAAAAAGGTTTTTCCTATATATTCCTATGTAAAACTTTGATCGGCCATTTTGGCCCCACCCTACCCCGGGGGTCATGATTTGAACAAACTTGAATTTACACTACCTGAGGATGATTCCACATGCGTTTCATCTTTCCTGGCCCAGTGGTTCTTGAGAAGAAGCTTTTTAAAGATTTTTCCTATATATTCTTAGATAAAACTTTGGTAAACCTAGGTAAAAATATGAATTTAAATTTTGAAGAGAAATCAACGTTACATGTCTAATTCAACAGACATCAGCCTGATCAAGGATAAAATTATTTCTTCTAAATACAAAAATGTTCAAATATTTTGTTTTCACTTATTGTAATTATTTTGTGAAATAAAATATTTTTATGATTACGTTTTCTGTAATTCGTTAGTTCTTAATACCAAGAAAAGGTAAACACATGTAATTTTGCTATTTTATTTTTAAGTTCGAATATCTATCGCATCTAGTTCAAATTTTGTCAAGCTCTGAAATAAATTGAGTATTTTAAATTGCGAACAAAAGATTCAACATTCAACATTATTTCATGTGAATTTTTCGTTATAACATTTCAAAAAAATACTTTCTAAATACAACGCCAACATTACATCTCTTGTAAAAATGTTAAGAAGGGTCTTCTAAATATGAAGGGTTTTAAAGTGCTTTATTATCGTTTTGTTGCAGCGTGCAAGCCTGGCAGTTATGGAAAGGAGTGCAAAAAGGTCTGCGGACATTGTGAAAGCAATGAACCGTGCAATCACATCAATGGATCGTGTCCAGGATCATGTGAACCGGGGTATAAGGGAGAAATGTGTTTAGCAAGTAAGAAATTCCTTGACTCTATATACATTATGAAATAAATGTGAATTTCTAAAGGCACTTGATTTTGCACAATCTAAATGTATAAAAATGTTTTGCTGTTCACGGTAAGCTAATGGTAGACTGTCTCTTTGTGATAGGGAGGCCTGGGTTCGATTCTTGTTCGGGGCGCCGCGTCATACCTACGACGTAAACATAGGTACTAACCATTCCTGGCAATCGAATTGAAAGTCAAGGGTCTTTAAGATATGGCCTTAAAAACATAGGTCCCGTGTCACGGTAGGCATTGACAAGATAAAGAACCCTCACTGCTCAAAGGCCCTTAGTTTGTAGTATAGGTCTAAATTTGAAGCCCTTCATTGGCATACCGTGACGTCTCCAAATAAGTGAAAAAATCTCGAGAGGAACGTAAAGCAATATACAATCAATCTACCTAAATGTTTCTTTTTTATCTTGAGTAAGACTGAAGTTATGAGAATCACACCGACCTGCACGTAGGCATATTTTTTCAAGAAGCGCTAGTGCGCTTCATGAAATATGCCGACGTGGCAAGTCGGTGTAATTCACACACCAATAACTCACACAAAACTTGAAAGCATTCCTTAATTGAACCCACAATGTGAGGATTAAATCCTTAACTCTAACAAAGACGCCACGCGCTCGATAACTAGAAGATGTGACAGAAATTTCATAAAGCATTTTCATGTCTTACCAAGTATCATGTTAAGAATATAAATATAGTATGCACTTGTTATTTTTTATTCACCATCTCACTGCTCAATTGCTCTAAATGCCGAGGTTAGATCTAAATTTGAAGCACTTTACCGGCATATGGTGACGTCCCTATATGCGTGGAAAGTTTTCGAATTGAAAATTTAATCAATCAATCCTTAAGGGTGTAGAATAGCAATTCAATCAATGGCGTTGAACAAATAATTTTGTTCCTCTTTCATTTATTTTCAGCCTGCAATGGTGGTTGGTACGGTAGAGAATGTAAACAACGTTGTGGTTACTGTAGAGACGATGAACCGTGCCATCACGTGACCGGATCTTGCTCAGGATTCTGTGAACCCGGATACCTTGGAGACAAATGTGACGAAAGCGAATTTTCTCAACTCCTTGTAATACAGAGGAAAATGCTCAGCTCCGTTAGAGAAATACTCTCTTTTAAAAGAAGAAAAGCTGGACTGATTGCAAACGGCACGTTTCCGGCTGACCTCAAATAACAGAATAGTACTCAAAAAGAATCGAAGACCTATGTGTATACATTTGCAAATGATGTGATCCTTTGTAAAAAAAAAAAAATCATGCAATCCATTTGCTGAGAACAAGCAGTACTGTTTAATAAGTGAAGATATTACAATAAGTTTTTTTTATCTACAATGTTTCCTGTTTAGTTTTTTTTCTGTTTTTTATGCTTTTTATCATTTATTTTGTATTCGCAACAAGGTATCATCTTTATTTCACTGTTCTATCATTGAATTTATATCAAATCAATTTATATATTTGTGCCCGATTTTTTAATTAGCATGAAACAATAATAAAAAAAAAATCTTGTATTGTAATGACAATTCGTGTTCTTTTCATTTTTGTCTTGGCTTGAGTTCTTGAAATGGGTCAGTTATATAATTATTTCATGTTACTTTATATTGCTAAAACTAAATTTTGTTTGCATGAAAGTACAATTGAAAAAAAAAATACTCGGAATTGCCGAAAATGTTGTCATTTATTTTCAAAATCGTGAATCAGTAAATTCTTTCTTACATCTTTCGTTCTCGGGGTCATTGTCTCAATGTTGTTTTTCTATTTTGAAGCAATATAAAACACTTCAAAATTTCTTCAACTTTTTTCAAAAAATCCTATTTTATAGTTTATTGATTTATTTTAAACAATTGTGTAAGGTTTTTGAGTCTCCTTTGTTTTCTTTTTATTAAGGAATGATAATTTATCTTTTAAATTTTAGGAAAATTAAATACTATTTAAGTAATTTGGATCATTTATTTCTTTATAATTCCAATCTTCATTTTATCATTTGATTTCCTGTGTTTTGATTGGACGAGAACACGTTCCAGAAAATTTTTACACATCGATAATTCTTTCAATCAAAACTACTTTCTTGATGACACTACTAGGCTATCGTATAAACAATGAAAGCAGTTGTTTCTGGGTCTGTTCTGGCTAAATAATGAATACAAGAAACTTTAAATTTAATTAGGGCTTAAACAAAACTGGCAACATACTAGACTGCCTAACTGATGGACGCCGTGAACATGTTTATGTCACTGTCCGATCACGAGTGTGAATTTTAAAAATCGCTCTCTCAACGTTCATACGTAGAAAATAAGCTCAGTCTGTATCGTTTTGACAGGGAAAAGAAACGTACCTCAAACTCTTGCCCTATTAGCATCAAATTCATATTTATTTTCTATATTGTTCCTCAATATTTGAATAAACAAGTGCAAATTGAAGACGTCGTCGGTCTGCAACTTTCCCTATGAGAGTTGTTGTGTATGTCAACATGGCCATGGTCAAAGACGAACTATTCTGAAGTAAACTCGTAATTACGATATTGTTGACTTAAACAACATTCGATTAGTTGTTATAAGTTTATTTATCGATTGTTTTGACAATTTAAGTTAAACTCTAGCGAAATTCATCTCGATTGCGTTCCTTTACGGTAAAATGTATTCCTACGCCGTCCAGAAATAACGGATTGTATGGAGGCCTCAAAGAGAAATAATTTAAATATTTCTAAAAATTCGATATTGGAATTATAAAAATTAAACGTTCTTTTTGAAAAGATTATCGATGTGTAAACTTTTGACATTTTACTCACAAACTTAACATAAAAGAGATTCGCACTTTTATTTAGTTTGTGAGTAAAATGTCAAGAGTTTACACGTCAATAAATTTTTCAAAAAGAACGTTTAATCCTATATTATTTTCTTCGGTTGTTTCTGGACATAACTATGAATCAGAGCAGGCTACAAATTGAACAAAAGATAATAAAATAGGATATGACATTCACCGGATAAAACTACACCATTCCATCAAATGAATATGGCAACTGAAATTTCTAGAAAGATCGCTAATTAACATAATTCTGTCATGCAGACCTCTTTCAGTTAACAGAGTTCCAACCTCTGTTTGTTGAGTATAGAAGGTTTTAAATGTTGCTAGCCATATACGAAGCTTATTGAACAGTTAATCTAGACATCATTATTATTTGCCAAATATAGTCATTGATTATTCATATATGAAAAGTATTAAGTACGGCTCCTTGTTAAAATCATGCAGACAGTACAGAAAAGGTGATTCATCGACCATCTTCAAATTCAATGAAATTGGGTTTAATATATTTATTGGGGTCTGAAATGAATATAAACAGTTGATTTTGTTATAATTCTTCTTTTTTTTCATATAGCCAGGGATAAAGAACTTGAGGTGAAATTTTGTATAGGTAGTGTGCAAATAATGCCTATTTCAGAAAAGAATATCTTTAACACCCTAGCAGATGTACAAAAACATAATACATAATTAAAGTGAAAATTGAAGGCTTAATAAAGAATTATTTTAATCTTTTTGTGCAAATAAAGTATTGAAAAGATACAAGGTGTTTAAAATTTGTCAAGATTCTTCAAATGAGTTATCTCCCTTTGCAATTTTAAATAGATGGCGCTAGTGAAAAAAATGACAGCCTCCATGATTAGCTGTACGCTGCAAAGTTATTATGATGCATCCTGTGATGTTTATTGCAAAAATATGTGTGAAGTGACATAAATTGGTTGAAAGGATTCTACAAGAACAGATTAGGCATAGTTTTCGGGCAAAAGTATAGCCATGTCACATGTTTGTGTCGTGTTGATTAGTATATTGACCTTAATTGCTGACGTTCTCCCGAAATGGTACTCGCCTACTGACACCGTTGTGATATATCTCAGAAGTTTAAATTCTACGGTAATCCACCAGAGTCCTATATTAAAATTTCAGAGAGGCAGTCCGATTTTGTCAGCTTACTCGACTTGGAGAGGGAAGATAACTTGCATTTGGACAGTTACATTTGACCAGGTAAGATAAGGTCCAGAACACTGCTGAATAGTATTTTGATTAAGATAATTAATTTTGTAGCTTGAAAGTTAGCTATGTAGCTTTAATATTTTGACGGTGCGACCGTTAGGGCGAGCGCATATACTTATCCATTTTCATTTAGATTGGACATGTAAATCCGCACTTGACATTCGTTATTAGATTTTGACGTCATATGACGTCGTTTGTATGCTGCTTTACCAAACAGAAGCCTGAACAAGGCTCATTTCAATCAGTATATGACTATCTTTCTGCAATAAACAGATAAATTCATTAAATCAACTTAAGACAAATTTATTATTTGTTTAACTTTTGTTGTTATTCTCGCGAGAATGTTGCTTAAGAGTTTGTGTATGAAGCGATGCATTGTGGGTCTAAATTACTGCGGTAAAAAATTCTTTCGAATGAATGTGCAGTATTCTGAATTTTTCTCTTTGCCCAGGCGTTGTCATCAGAGCTCGAAGTTATGTGCACCGCTTTGCGACCCTTTCTGCACTCGCTATTAATCGATTCAAAATAGCTTGGTAAAGCTTTTTATATGCAGTCAAAAGTATTTTACAAGTCCTATATGACAATATATTATAAGTCTTTATAAAAAAATAAAAATCATAGATACTTGTAGTATTGCAGCTGTTGAATACTGTAGCGGACAGTATATAGGGAACTTATACTGCCTCGCCAGTGAGCTAGCTTTTCTGGTGATGCGATAAAGTCTCCCCCTATATCAGGCAAGTTAAGCAACGGGGAGCCTGTTTAACCCTCGGATGGGTGACCGCTTCATGTTACAATACTTTTAATTAATATAAGCAAAAGACAAATTTTCATTTTCTTAAGAGCTCAGGTACACTACCGTTAATGGAAGGTAATGGAATGTTAACTGAAAAGTAGGTCACAGTGACCGACTTCTTTAATTTTGCGGGCATTTGTTTTCAAATTGATTTTTGAAGGCATATTTTGGACACTTAAAGGCCTATGATCATCAAACTTTGTCAGTTGATGCATCTTGGGTCCTTGAACAACGTCAACTTAAAAGTAGGTCACCATGACCTACTTTTTTATCTTTATGACTTGTTATTGTTAAAACATTTAATCCAATTATTTCAGACACAGAGAGAGTTAAAATCATCAAATCTTGTAAGTTGCTGCATCTTGTGACCTTAAAACATATTTAAGTAAAAGTAAGTCACTGTGACCTAATTTAGAATTTTGCAGGCATTTGTTTTCAAATTGTTTAATAGACATATTTTGATTACCTTCAGATGCATCTTGGGACTCTGAAAAATGTTGACCAAAATGTAGGTCACAGTGACCTACTTTTGACATTTTATGGCTATAATTGAATATCTTAAGTATTTATTGGCTTAGAATCATCAAACTTTGTGAGTTGATGCATCTTGGGTTTTCGGAGAGTGACGATCAAAGTGTAGGTCACGGTGACCTACTTTCGACATTTTATGGATATTTTTAAGTATCTCTGGTACTTATAGGCTTAGAATCATCAAACCTTGTCAGTTGATTCATCTTGGGTTTTCGGAGAGTGCTGACCAAAAAGAAGGTCACGGTGCCCTACTTTCGACATTTTATGGACATATTTATGTATCTCTGGTACTTATAGGCTTAGAATCATCAAACTTTGTCAGTTGATTTATCTTTGGTTTTCGGAGAGTGCTGACCAAAAAGTAGGTCACGGTGACCTAATTTCGACATTTTATGGATATATTTAAGTATCTCTGGTACTTATAGGCTTAGAATCATCAAACTTTGTCAGTTGATTCATCTTGGATTTTCGGAGATTGCTGACAAAAAGTAGGTCACGGTGACCTACTTTCGACATTTAATGGCTATATTCAAGTATCTCTGCTACCTATTGGCATAGAATAATTAAACTTTGTCAGTTGATGCATTTTGGGTTTTCAGAGAATGTAGACCAAAAGGTAGGTCAAAGTTACCTTCTTTTGAATATATCAAATACTTATTGACTTAGAATCTTCAATCTTAGTTTGTCTATTAATGCATCTTGAGTCCTCAGAAAACTTCAATTTTCATAAAAACTTCATAAAGATACATTCAACTCATTAATATAGAAGCTGTATTCTACATTTTGAAACAATTTTAATCCAATGCACTTTTAAAATATGATAAGTATGAATAGAATATGCTGGGTTTAAAAGCTGTGAAACTATACAATAACTTCAGGGGATACATTGAATTTTGAATTTCAGCAAAAAATTAATAATAACAGTGGCAACTTTCAATGTACACATTTGCATGTTAGCTAATCCATTGAATATTTACATCTATGTATTGATTGACTGACATTTATAAAAAAAAAACTCCAATACTAATGGAAAACCTAGTGTAAGATATTTAAGATTATTGAGAACTTACAAACTTGTATACTTTCTCTTTTTTGTAGTTTAAGTTTTATTTATGCTTAGAAAATATTTACTGTGTTAATATTAGTTTTACAGGTTCAATATACAGG